GGGGGGGGAGGAAGAGGAGGGCGCAGTGCACACTTTCTCCTTTTAGGGTGTTTTTTATTGTTTTGGGAGTTTTTGTTTTCTTTTTCCTCTTTGAACCAGGTTTGTAGAAGTTGCTGCCAAACCAGATTTAGAGCTATCAGGAACTTTAATCCAGTGCCCTAAGAATATTGGATGTATCTTCACCATTTCCCCTCCACTTAGTTCTCCTGTTTATGGTTCAAGATTTCATGACTCCCCAGAGGCACACAGCAAAGGAAGAGAGACCCAAGACCTGTTGCTCCTCCACCCCCCAAAGCAACTTCATGTCTGATCAACACAGGCACATTTCAGTACCAGGAGACAAGGACGTAGCATTCCTCTAAAGGCCATCTTCTACCCCAGTCCACTGAAGCAGTTATTCCTTAAACTATTCACTGTTAGTCACAGGCAGCAGAGCTATGAAATTTGTTTCCTATCTGCTGTATAAACATGCATTAATGTTCGGTTAAAATACCTGTGACTGTGCAGCTTATGCTGTTGTGCTGAGGGCACTGGGGTGGGGTGACGACTGCTACTCTTGGGGCAACCGACCACACTCATCTGAGCAGCAGCTACTAAAACCACAATGCACTGGGAGAGATACAGCTAGTTGAGAGCACGCAGCTGTGAAATTCCTGCAAGATCACAGAAAGGTATCGCATGGCATAGAGGTTTCCCAGTTCGAGCTATCAAGAGATTAGGAAAGTGAAGTAGGAGGAAGAGATGCAAAAAGCCCTGAAAAGGCTCAACTCCCAGTAAGATTTCCCCACCCCTTCCAAACTCTTTATTGTAATCCATCTCAGCAAAGCCTTTTATTTTTCCCCATTCTGCCAACAGCTTTAGCTTATAGAAAAGCATTTTCACTTGGGGAGGCATGTTCACATTAAAAACAAGGCATTATCCCTCAAGTCAGGTAGACTTTCAATTCCTGTTAGAAAGCCCTCTGCAGAGGTACAGGCTTCTCGGACAATGGGAACTAGTCTTACTCATTTGAAGACAGGTTGCTGAAAACAGGTGGGACAGGGCCCAGAAACTCTACAGATGACAGACCTACCTCCAGCAGTGGCCAGAAAAGAGGGCACAAGCGATGCAGGCACTTGGAATTTCATCAGTCCCTGCCCTTAGGCACCCACCTTCTCAGCACAGGAGAGCTCAGTAAGGGAAAGGAGACAGGGAAAAAAAAAAAAAAACCCAAACATATAGTTGAAGGGAAAGAAGGAAGAATCTAGGCAATTAAATTAGGCGAGCAGTCTGCATATGAAAACTTCAATATCTGATCAAGTTTGGCAATGCGCATCGGGATTTTACACGCACTTGGAATTAATTCTTGTACATCTTCCTACAAAATGCGAAGCAAAGATGCACTAAACTTACTAATTCATGTCGGATGTGATACTACTTAACTGTTAATACACAAAATATTTCTGTATAAAGCAAACATCTAACAAAAAAGAAAAAAAAAAAAATCACTGCACGAATTCAGTAGCAGCTATCAGTGCCTGGATGGCACTTTTTTCCATGAATGATTTTTTGCTGCTCTTGTTAATTTAGGACACGAAACTCATCCAAAATAGTAACTGATGGCTGGTTTTCTCTAAAACCAGTGAAACTTACCATCTTAAAAAAAGCCTCTATTTAAAAAAAGAATACTTCTTATTGTACCTTTTATTATACATTATAAAGATACACGAAACAGTTCAGTACTAAGACAACTACGTGTTCTCCTGAGGGCTACATAGTCCTCAACAGGCATCTGCACACACCTACGATTGACTGTAGTGAGTTTTTCACTTAATCCAAAGTTCCTGAAAAGGAGGAATCCCTCAGATCTTGCCCCACCCCTCCACTTGTTCTCAACTACTCTTAGATACTACAGTTTTCTTTGTAGGAAAGTATTGCAGTCACGCGAACTGTGACTCTTCAATTTATTCTTATAATTTACTATCTTTACCTTTTAAGCCAGACTGCTCTTCTCATACACCAAAAGCTCGGTAGGGGGAAAAAGAAGAAAGTGTCACCCAAAAGGGTTTCATTCACTTTTCAGGCCAACTACATCCTTAGTCTGTGCTGAAAATGACAGCCAGCACAACCAAAATCAATTGTCACCACAGGTACTTGGTTTTTTCCTTCCATTTTAAACAGGCAACCAACAACTTATTTTCCCACTGAAAGAGTTATACAATGGCTATATATCAAATTTGAAAACTCCTCAAAATTTCAAAGTCGATGAAAGCCAGATTCTAGAGGGAGACAACATGGGTAAAAAAATATCAATACACATGATATTTTAATACAAAATATTAGCTTTTTTCTTTTTTTTTTTTTTACACAAGTCAGTTTTTTTAAAATATAGAACCTTAAAAAAATGAACAAATTGCTATCCACACACTATAAACACTTTTTTTGTGCTCAGTTTGATCAAGTTATCAGAACAATTTAAACACCAGTCCATAGTTTAAACACTGCCTTGAAGTTTTATGAAAACTATGCCGCACTGTGCACTACCATTATTATATGTACAGTGTGAAGCACCTTCTTTCAATTTTAATACGGTAGTAGAAACTGTTCAGTTATCAGGTTCTTTGTGCAAGGATTTCACATTCTACTCATGCTCATGACAGATTTGCATTACATTTCAGTGGCACTGGTATGAGCAACCACATGTAATTCTGTGAATGTTCACTGGAAGAATGTCCATTACATGTACTGAAATACATATTCTGGAAGTACAAGTTCTTCAGCTAGATAAAAGAAAACTTGTTATTGTTAGTTTAGGGGAAATACTAGCCTGATTAGCCAGAATTTAACAATTTCTAAGCACTGAAATTAATTTTGATTTCTCAAAGTTGAATAAAAGTAAGTTACTATCACATTTTCATAGAGATGAGCTATATAGCAGGTACATCTCAGGAATATTTGTAAAAGCCCGTTTTTTGAACCCACAGAAAGAAAAAATTTCCCTCTAAGTTGGAGGTCTTAAAAGGTCTTGTTTTAGTAGTAAATCATCCACAAGTTGTAGGCTGTTAGCCAAGTAGATTTTAGGATGATTTACTTGCATTACAGTAATTTACACAATTGAACTTTATGCATACAGTACAAAACTATGAACAAAAAGGTGAAGCAAACTTTTTTATTTATATTCAGGTAAAAACATTAACCTGATGAAGTAAATTATTGCAGATTTGAGAAATCAGCACATAAAACAGTTGGACAGAGCATTGCTTACAGGTGCTTTATCTGTGTCAAAAGACAAAGGCTGAACTGTTTGTTCCAAGCTAGTGCTGGAGGGGGAAGAAAAAAAAAAAAAAAGGAAAAAAACTACAAAAGTAACCAGGAGCTTAGATCAAGAACAAGAAAACTGTTTACTCAAACAGGGAATGAAACAACTAATTTGTCTTTTAAAAAAACTTTACATCAATTCGAAATGCTCTGGCCTTACCACAATACACACTGGCCAGCCCAAGCTGTTGGACTTCAACTACGTGAAAGAAGTAATTCTTCCTAGCCTCTAGTAAGAGGCTTTTGCTGCCTGAATCACTGTGTAAACAGCTCTAGAGCGTCGACTGGTAAAGGCTGTCGCCATTATATCCTACCACTACAGTAAAACTATGCTATAAGAAAGGTTCTACCTAGTTACAAAGGCTGAATTATATTGACAATATATATTTGATTTCAGTAAAATTTAAATTATCTTAATCAGAGAAAGAGGCATGGAGCGGTTAAATGCCCATGCTAACCAAAAGATAACAATTGTTGAATGTTGCACACAAAAAGAACCAAGTGAATTGCACATCAGACAATACAGGAGGATGGGTAAAATTAGAGGCAGGTGAGGGTACACAGAACTAGTCTACTAAACTAGATTCGTCAAATACATGGTGTATTTTAATTTCTGTACTTATGTACAAAAGTTGTCTTTGGAGGAAAAACTTCAGACTTAGCTAGATGGATACACACAGCCCAGTATTAAACTGCACAGCGACATTTATTGTTCCAGCCTGGAAAAACATCCCTTTTTAAATTTCACACAGCAAAGCAAGTTAAAAACTTCACTCATCAAATAAATGATAATTTAAACAAGAACTTGCTAAAGAAACCTTGTCACAACAACTTTTAGGGCCTGATCACTTTAAGTCCATAGGGGCCTTTAACGAATATCAACCAAGTGTCTTTGTTTATAATCTGCAAGCCGTTTTTCTACAACAAGAAGGCGTAACACGTTTCCTTGACTCAGGTGATAATATTTAGAAAAGAATCATGAGTTTCTCTTTTGCTGTAACAGGCAGACATTGCATTTGTCATTGTGATCAGGAAAGATGGAATGACTGCTGCCCTTCTCTTGCAGCTATCAAGAGTTTTTCACGCATTATCTCAATAGTTGAATAGTCCGGCAATTTGAGATAGTTCACACAAGTCATTACTGAGGGCAAGAAATCATCTGGATTCTCTGTAGACTCAAATGTCTTGCGTACAATTGTCAACGGAGGATTCAAACTTCGAAAGCCTATTAATGAGAAAAGACATTCAGAATAAGGTTGTTTCTCTTGAAAACCCACAGTTAACACTGTAGACATCTAACAGTGACAGAAGCATGCATTTCATAACTGATGACTTAATCTCCGTTTTTAAAAGTTTAGAATGGCTTTGTAAGGCCATGTAGCAAGCTAAAAAAATACCTAAAATCCTTTCTGTAGATTAGTTTTCCAAGATGAATTAAAAAAAGAAATAAGCTAGACTCATCTAACTTTTAATTCTGTGTTCTGTATTTGTAAAAAAACCTATTCCAATCACAATATTTTTAAGAGTTTGTTGGTTTCATACACATTTTCTAAGATTCCCAGAAGTTATCTATGACTGTCGTACCTTATTTTTTTTACTCCAGCTAAGGTTTTTATACTCCTAACCCTCAACCCTGTCTGCACCATCTCTCCCCAAAAGAGCCCTGAAAAAATTCTTTTAAAAAGAATCAACTGTTTCTTATAATGTCCATTCTTTAACTAGAAAAACAGCCCCAAACCCCCAAGAATGTAAGTAATGGAACAGATGCATAAATTCTGTTTTTACTTGCAAAGCGTTCAGCTGAGAATACGGTAAAATGTGTATTCTACAATGATCCCTAGCAAAGACAGCAAATTCCTCAGTTTTCCTCATTGCCTTTCATCTAAATTCTGAAATTCAAAAGGGGGAGAAATTAAAGTTTATCACTATGCTAGTATTGTCTCCTTTCTAGAAAAAAAGATTATTGTTTCCAGATAGCAATGCATCATTTTGTTGTTGTCATAACTTAATGCACCTCTGGCCAAGGAATACAATATTAAGGGTTTTCAGGTTTTTTAAAATTTTGAACTATTTTTTGCCTTCTGGTAGGTTATCTGGTAACATAAATTAAACCTGGAGAGAGTCAATTGAATGAAATGTCATGAGATTAACACAAAATCTGAGAATTCTACCTGAAGTCTACCCAGCCACTTCTGAAACTAGGAATGTCAAACAAGTATGAACCTCTAAAATATACAGATAGGTAATTTTTTCCTATACTGAAATAATCCACTTATTCTGAAATGTATTAATAATACTGATTTCATATATAGCAATATGTAATAAACAAAACCTACCTCCTACAGGCAGTCTGGGGCTACCTGTCACAAACTGAAGAAACAGTCTTTGCTGCTCACTATCAAAGCTACTGAGAATTTCAAAGAGATACTTCACTGCTCGACTAAGGAAGGAAAAGAGCAAGCTATTATTTTGTTTATAGTTAAAATAATTGCATCAGATTCATATTCAGTGCAGTATGAGTATTTTCAAATAAATTTCATATAATTCTTTTAGCTTGAATAACAGTATGTCAAAATTATTTAAATACATATTTTCTAGTGCTAGTACTTATTTATTTTTTAACAAGACCAACACCATATTACCTGTCGTGTGTATAACCGTGATCTGGCCTGCAACATTCCATTAAAGTCTTTGCATCCCAAGTGTCTGTTTTACTGCCGCACAAGAGCTGCTCCAGCTGTAAAATTAAAAAAACAAGGAAGGAAATTTTCCCCTTTAGAACTTGAGGTAGAACAAGTAGTGTCCATCCTGACTACTATTACAGCATTCTACTTTCTGGAATGGCTTGCTGCAAAATAACCTCAGTCACCCCAAGCAATCCTCCCAAATTCTTTGAATGCAATAGCTTCATCCCAGTGACAGCCTCATTTGCCTTTCCACACAATCCACTACCACATGAGATGCTGAATATATATCTCTTAGAACAGAGACGGTCCTAATAAGCAATTTACACTGGAGAACCAAAAATGCCTCAATTTGTTGGAAACCTCACAATTTTTAAAGATATCTAGGGGAATGGGAAGAATAGAGTGTTTACACTTGCTTTTTAGAACTCTGAGCTCTTCTTTGAAAGAAAAAAATCATTAGACAGAGATGGATCTGTCAGACAGCAGTTTTGTACGTAAATTATTTTGCCTATTCTTTCTATGCACTTGGGCAAGCAGAGATGACAGGCTACAGCCAAAACGTTAAAAGCTTCTACAGATGTCCTTCTAGGATACAGGAGGAGTTGTAAAGCCCCGATATCAGTAAAACCAGAGGTTTGACACACCTAGCTGTTCTGTTCGTGAACAAAAGAATTTTACAAGTTCTTTATAATAGTTTAGGAATGGTTTGTAAAAAGATTCAAACGGCTGTATAGCTATCAGCAACAGAACATGTGTATACCCTATTAAGGAAAGGATATCTTATATCTCACACTACTCCTACGGCTTAAACTTTGATCAACAACATTAGTAGATTAGCAATAGACTAGTGTCTGTATTTTAAAATTTCCAAGCAGAAGCAAGCATCAAACCATGCCAAACAACGACAAGACAGAAAAACAGCATCACGTATACTACAAAACGGAGAAGTTTCGGTAAAACACTGGAGAAACTAGAATAATCTGCCACTTCTATTAGCCTTAAATTTGTTGCAGAAAAAAAGGTGGTGGTACTCTTTGAAAGTGGTACCAACAGAGAGGTATGAAGAAAAATCACTATGAGCAGTTACAGATCTCAGCTTTAAGAGACTCCATTGCAAAGCACCAAGAACAAAAGAGTAACACAAAGGCTTGGCTAACACACTGCTTCAGAGCATGCTTAACATTTCTTCGTGAAGTTAAAGGTGTAAGTTTATGAAGGTAAACAAACCCTTGGAAGCAGAGTCTTCAAATAAACTCCCTAAAGGCAGAGTAATAAGACATTCTTTCTTCTAGTCCAGACAACCATAACTGTGTCTCAATTCAGTCCACTTAAGAGTGCAAGAATTTTACAAGGAAATTTATATGGTGGATGGTGAGAACAAGGCAAGACCAACAATCCTTATTCTTTACCCCTTCATCTGAAACTCCTCTTACTGTCTAAAGCTTTGTTAAAGAGCTGACTACTTTTTTGTATAGAACATCCAAGTAGCATCCACATTTATAGCTACTAAGAGGTACTGCAATACAAGGAGTTAATTAAAGTATCCACACCAATATAGAGAGCCTGCATATATAAATTTAAGCACTTTTTCTCAGAGAAGCTGGATACACTCAACTTAAAAGAAAATTGAGCTGTTCATAATAAAAGCATCAAATGACCACCAAACACAGAAATCTTTAACATTTAGGTATGCAATTTAAAGGTCACCAAGTTTTACTAGTATGCATCAGAAACGTAATGTAATCAGACTGTCACAACTGCACTGCATCCAGCGCATACCTAGGTTCAGATTGTCCATACGTATAAATATAAGGTTATAAAAGCATCAGTAAAAACAGGTTTACCAACCTCCTCAGGATAGAAGTACTGAAGATGACTGAGGGGGAAGACCGATTCAAATCCATCTCTGAATGAGTCAAACTGTCTGGCAACACCTTCATTTAGTGCCCAGAATATAACCAACTGCAGGGAAGAAAACAAGGAAAAAAAGTCCTTTGAACAAAGGAAGCGTGGAATGATCACTACTGTACAAAAGAGTACAGCTGCAGAAAAAAAAACTCTCCAGAAGCCTAGCCATATGCTCACTGTAGTTGTGGTAGAGTTTGAACTTTGATTCATGGAGCTGCTCTACAGTGTTGCCTCATTCTGCCTTAATTCATAAGCTCATACTGCTGCATGTGTGCAAGTGCAGTGCTGCTGCAATGCAACAGACACAGACTTTGTGGGGTTTTTTCTTTACAACTTTCTCATGTGGTCTGTCATTGCAAATTAGCAAAAGTAATTTGCAGTTCAAACAACCTCATATTTAGAACAATCTAAGCATGCAACTCATGCAGAGTTTAAACAACTTATTTGCCTTTATTTTTGATAAAATAAGGTTAATACATGGAATTCAGAATAGCTGGTTAAACTGATCCTATTTAACAAAACATTTTAAAACAAATCTGAACATTTATTAGATATTTTTAGAAGCCTAACCTAGATGTTCTCTCTGTACACTGATACCCATTTAAAACTCAGCAACAGAAACAGAAGTCCTTAGGGCATCATTGGTAGTATTACATTAGTTACCCCCACGGAAACAGCATCATTACAGGTATTACATATATAGGGTATTACATTAGTTACCCCCACGGAAACATATTAGTCCCCTTTTCTAATATATAGTTACAAAAAGTAACTTTAGACTTTATAAGTAGCTTATTATTATAAGAATACATGGGGGAAAAAAAAGAAATAACTTCATTTCACATTTCTGGGATTTGGTAAGAATCATAAGGCAAAAGACAGTAAGACAGTAGTCTAGGCTTTTTACGTGTTTTTCTGTTTTGTTTTTGTATCTGCAGTTACCCTCTCAGGATTAAATTCACCTTCCAAAGTGGACCACACATACTGAAACAATAATCACCCTGGGGGAGGGAAGAGGACATGACACAAACAAGACCAAATTCCTTTTAAATCTCCTGCAGCCAGTATTTCTCCACTAAATTAAAAAAATATATTATACATGGCAGATTGCATGCCAAGTTCAGATTCTTTTGTCAGTTAGTACTACCAATGATTACGCTTGCCTTGGCTACCTTCAACTCTAGCAGGAAATGAAGACTGGTTGTAAAAGATGTGTTGTCAACACACAGCTACTAATTTTTAAATGTGTTAGAAGCTCTCACCTGGAATGCTGAGAAAAGCTTTGAAAGACATCTAAGGATGCATCTGAATATGCTTAAAAACCTCATTATACTGCTGGGCTCCTGAAGCCAGTATTTAACCCTGTCCCAGTAATTGAAGAGTTACTTGTTCCAGAAAGCTCTCAGGTATGAAAGCCTATTAGGATCTGTCGATAAGCTTTCCTAAAAGAGTCAGGCATTGAATTTCAGGTAAGATACATACCCCTACTTTCACACATCAAGTTGTAACACTGAAGAGCAAGCTGGTAAGCACCGGCAGCACAGAAGGCTGTTCTACTGCGTTCTATAACATAGAATATTCTATGGCTGTTCTAGCAGCAGAGTTGCTGACTTAGGACTGTGATTACTTTTTATGACCAGGAGTGTGTGGCAAAATTAGCTGCACTGTATTCTTGTGGATTCAAAGAAGAGATCAAGTTGTTAGGCAAAAAACTGCACTCCAGAAATTTTTTGTCCACAAATTCAGAACAAGCAAGTTGGCCTCTTTCTTTATAGCACAGGGGAGAAGAGGGAAGGAAAAAAGGAAAAAAAAAAAGAAAAAAAGAGAGAATAAAGACTTTCACTATACCGGTAGCTGAAATAGTTCTACTCTCTGATAAAAGTAGCTCCTGTGGGAACCATCCTTGGGGAAAAAAAAGGGAGGTGGAGGGTTGAATGACATGATTGCAGGAGAGGCATGAAGAGTAACAGTAAGATATCCTAGCTTTATAAACTACTTTTAATGGTAATCCACACACAAGATTTTAATGACAATGACATTTTCAGAGCAGGGCAGCTGACCCACAGGGAGCTGTACAGGCTAGCTGGTAAGTTAAATATACTGTTTCTAAACTGCAATTCATCATACTTTTGATACAGAGGACACTGATTTTCTCTCTGAAATCTTTTCCATTTCCTTGACATCATCTGTAATGTTAATCACTGGGATCTAGTTTAAAATCTCCTCTATAAGGCAGGAATATAAAAACAAGGATAGAAAAACTGCACAAGTGTCCTTTAAAGAAAATAGTCCCAAAAGTTGTTTAGAAAGAAGTGGAAAGCAAGCTTTCTGTAGTGATCCGTTTTTCCTTCACAATGCCAGAGGCCTGCAATAGGACAACTACAGGACATCCGAGATGTCTGCAAGCCTTTCTCAGTATATCTGATACCTGATACGTGTTACCTAGAAGGAAAAAAACTGACTGCAAATTGCACAAAAATCAGACCTGAAAGCTCAGCTTTCCTAGAGACTGCAAATGCTGTTTCTAACAAGCTATGGTTGTTGGCATTGCCAATCTATAAGTCTGCAAACAGCTTTATATCCAAATATGTTCAATTTTAAAAGTGATTCTTGACTAGCAGAATTTGCTTTCAACAAATAAAGATATGAGAACCAGCTATGTGCATAACAGCTTGAATCAGGAAGATGAACAGCAACTGCTCAATATTCAGTTGTAATGATTATGGAATAACTTTGCAAAGTTCTCAGTTGATATCCAGGAGCTTATATGCCCCTTACTGAATCATTTCTATCAAAACATCAGATAGCAGTTTCTTATCAGTACTTGAAAATCTTAACAGTCCTCAGAGTGAAACTGGCAACAGACTAACCTGTCAGAAAATGCGTTATTTAGGAATTGGAATAATGGCTTTTTCATGATGCAATCAATCATTCTTACCTCCATCCCACTCATGACTTCATATGATAATATTGCATTCTTCCTTCCTTTCCTCATCTCTTTTCCAGGCTGTTTTTAAGCTATTCCCTTTAATGCTTTCTTATGCAGAAACAGTTTCCTACCTTTGTTCAGCAGTATCACCCTTTTGTCCTTCTAGGTTTTATGTCCCTTCTGACTTAGGAATAAATCAATATGCAGGTGTACTGTCAAATTATTATGGCACCATTTTCTTCTCTGTTCCTTACCTTTTTTTTTATGGTTTGGGTTTTTTGTTTGTTTGGTTTGGGTTTTGTGGGTTTTTTGGGTTTTGACTTGCAACTGAGCTGATGTTTTCTTAAGTCTGACTCCAAAAAGTTTCACTATTATTATAGCAGTTTAAAGCCCACTGAAGTGTGGGTGCTAAATCACTATGGCAAACAAATTCATTATCATACACAGATGTGGGAACATGTTAAAAGATCCTGAAAGTCCACAGCTCAAATTACTCCACTTACTACAACACTTTTTATCCAGAAAACCGTACTTCTGACGACTTCATTACGTGTAAACCAGTCTTTTTTGTACTATAAAATTTTCAAGTCAGGTGCGCTGATTAGGATTTAAACAGTTTTTCTACAGTAGTAACCTAGTACAGAACAGAAGAAATCAGTAGGAAAATTATTGCTGTGCCCAGTTCACGAGAATGAACTGAAATATATATGGAAACAAACTACTTGGGAGCAAGGTGAGAAAGAATAAAGGAAGTTTTACTCCTAGCTTTGCTTTTACGTACTCTGAGATACTCCTCTAAATTGTGGATAGTGACTGGTGTATCTTTTCCCCCTTTTTTCAGTTCTATATTAGGAAATCCAGGAAGTGTGAAGTCCAGCCCCAGATCTTCCACTGAGCAGCCATTCATAGTCAAAGCCTCCAATGCATACTGTAGACTTTCTTTGGTCTAAAAAATTGGAAGTAAAAGCCAGTGAGAATAATTAATTCACATTAACTTATCCAAAAGTTATGACTTCTAAAGCAATTTTGACTAACATTTCTGTAAGAATATTACTATTAATACTGTTACAGTACTCCTTGCTTTCCTTCTGTATTTTTCATACATAACAGTAATCCAAGACAAACAAAATAAACTATCTTAATGGATAAACTTGAAAGAGCATAACAGTACACTTTTTTCTAGCAATTTTGCTATTACTTTAACTTCCCACTTATTATTTATTTAGAAAACACTATTGCAAGAGAAGGAGATGTGTAATATGGTAAGGCTCTTAGGCTGTGTTTTTTCCTTAGAATAGTTACTGGCATTCATATTTGGCATGCATACTGACATTTTTCAGCTTTCATCCACCAGGTTTCAGGTTTTTCAAACTCTTGTTGGGAAATTAAAAGCGGTAATCAAGGAGAGAGAGTGAGACAGTGAGGTGAAGAGGAACAAAGGCCCACAAGCTTGCAATAACTTCACTAGTAACAAAGCAGATGTATTAAGAGTACAAATTACACTGGATGCTAGAAAGAGCATGCATGCTAAAGACTTTTTATCACTACTCTGCAACAGTGAATGGTACTATTTTTAGGTAAGAGTAGATAACCTTAAAAAATTAAGACTCTTCTGTATCTATAGAAGAACCTGTATGCTCACATATGAAGCCAGTTTACACCAGTTCTGCATACAGCTTTCAGTGGGGGAAGAAAAAACCCACAAAAGGCACTCCTAAGAAAACCTGAAAATTTTACTAAACCAACTAATAAAAAAAAGCCAAGCCTTTTGAATGTTCAAAAATCAAGGATAGATTTTTTTTTTTCCCCTCTGATATTGAAGCTGGTTAGTCTTTTTGAAATGAACAAAAAAGAGAAGTTACCTTAGGCAAATATCTGGCAGTTTTAGCCATTTCTAGCCTGTGTTTAATCACACAGAAGAATCCCATGATAAATTTCTAATGTTAGAGTCTACATTACAAAAAGATCGTGTTTAATTACTAGACAATGATTTAATAACATTAGAACTACTCCTTTTATTAGAATGAAGTCATTATCACTATTACCATCAGTATTATGCATTATCATACACTCTCAATTACGGCTACTTCATAAAATCCAAATGTGTGTGAAGATGCACTCTTCCATTCTTAGCATTACTTTCCCACCTGTGTTGTGTCCTGTTCAAGTCTTTTCTTTTGTCTTACAATATCTTCAAGGTGATATATTGATTTGGCTACCACTGGATCAATACTGAACAAGTCATGTGATGTCAAGGAAGTTTCCTGTCGTAACATCCATTTATAAAAAGGAAGTCCAAGAGGAAGGTCCACCTGGAAATCGAAATTTTTAGTATTGAACTGTCTTCCAAAACTGTATCTTTCGCTATTTTATCTCTCGACTAGATCTAGAATACTATTTACTAATTCATAGTTCTGGCCCATACCAAAACACCAAGTCTGAGCATTTTTACCTGAGAAATTTACAGTCCAGAAAACACAATTGACTGCCCAGTGCATATACATTAGAGCAATCACCAAGCTAGCAGCTGGAATAGTAAGACCAAAATGTTCTTGAAAGACGACTGGAGAGCGATTGCAATATATGGCAGGCAATGGCTTCTCCTTTTTTCACTATGGTCTCAAAAGCCACTGTAAAGATCTTCAATATGAACTACCCTTTTCCCCTCAAAAGCTCAGCTGCATCTCCCCCCACCCTGTCCAAACTGCTAGAGCTGAAAATAATTCCACGCAATTCTTAATGCTATTTTTTCCCCAATGCAGCCAGAACTAGAATTTTCATTTAACCCTTCAGAATCACATTTTCCATTTTATTCTCACCAGTCTAAAATCCATGATTGCCTTGGCCATTAGTTTGCCCAGAAAGCGGAACTTCATTTTAACTTTTGCAATGTGAGCTGGCTTGGCTGTTCTACCAAAAGGAAGCGCAAAAAGGCCTTGAAGGTTATGGATGTACTTGGTACCTTCCTGGCTTCCTGTTGAGAAAGAAAGAGAAAAAACAGAAGTTCAATTACATACACTGCTAGTTTCATTCCAGACACCAGTTTGAAGGCAGCTATCAGACAACCATAACCTAAAGTTTCTTACAAAATTAAAAAAAAAACCAACAACCAAACAAACCACAAAGATAATCACACATTATCATGAGGCATATTATCTGACTACAAACTGAGGTGCTCATTCAATCAAAGCCATTCACGTAATTAAAGTCAACTGAGAATCAATTCAATATTAGATCAATATTGATAGTTTAGGTAGTAAAACATTTACCTTTTGGATTGGCTAAAGTCACTTCTTCTCCCCTCCAAAGGCCTAAGTCTGCTCTCTGTAGTTCCTGAGATACAAGTGCATAGAACTCTAGTGTGGGGCCTAGGCCTGTGCCAACCTTCAGGGGGAGGGAGGGTGCGGGGAGAGGAAGGGGAATGAAATAAATAAATAAATGAGTCCATTAGGTCAGTTTGAATATCAAAATCTTCACTTAGTCTGAGAAATATAGTACGTTATTGGCTATAAAGAAGACTGCATTGCAAAAAGCATCTAGAGAACCTAACTACGCCAACATTTACAATATGACTGAGACAGCTTGGAAAGACCACGTATCAGAGGAAATAATAGTGGAATAAAAGTATTAACCACCTAATGATCATATTATCGAAGAAACGCACACAGCTGTTTGCTTAGAGTTAGGAAAAAAATGTGCTCTGCAGAGTAAGACTGATTATGAAATTTAGTAGATCAGAAAGTTTCTCCTAGCAACTAAAAATCACAATCAAGTGGCTTAGGGATAATTAATAGATAAAATTTTGTGGCACCAGCAATGGGAAGGACCAAGAGCCTGCCCAAGTCATTCTATGAAAGTTGTAGCTTTTTTGTATTAATCTTCAGTAAAAAGGAGTTAAATTAGACTGCATTGATATTACTTACTTCATTCTCATACTGGATTTCCAACATGGCTCTTGAACTGCCTAGATCCTGCATCACAGATTCTGCCTGTTTCAACAGCTCATCTCTGTTCACAGTGCGCTACACATTAGAGAAGTTTTAAGTAGTGAAATTATGTCTGTAAGTCCCAGCTCCCAAGGCAGTTACAACAGGAAAAGAATTAGTTATGCAAGTTTTTCCACACCATGCTAATAATTCCACAGTTCAACAATTTGTAAGCTTATACTTTGATAAAATAATTCTTGCTTCTATATGAAAACTGACTAGAATTAAAGTATTCAATTTAAAATGAAAAACCAATGCTTACATTTGTATGAGTATAACTAATAGGTACTACTCTTGCCAAGAATCTGGCAGTAAGATTACAACATAGCAGAGAAGTGTTGTGATGTGGTGTTACATACATCAAAATAGTATGTGGAGAAGAAAACCCAAAATAAAGATGCCAAAATCCAGCAACCTAAAGGAATAATCTTAAACCCCACCCTTGCAGATTCTCTAGTAGGGGCTCAGACAAAACAAACACCAAACAAACAAAAAAACCCAAAACCAAAAAAAAAAACACATGGGATTCCTACATGTTGGAAGCTATATTCTAGTTGAACTAGATTCTCACGTTTCTTATTTTTTTTCCCAGAGGTATTCAAGATCATATAGCAAATCTACATTATACAGCAGATCTTAGTTTAAGATAACATCCCTCCAGACTCAAGGCAGACACCCAAGAATCCCTCAATTTAAACCAGTCACAGCTCAGTTTTATTATGTTGTGACAGGAGTTTTAATACTCTCCCAGAATACAAGGACAATGTTTTTGTTTATTCAGGTAACACTTAACAGTCTAAAACCTGTTGCTTGAATTATTCTGAAATTCTACATTAAGCAAAACAGAGGTTTACAAAGCTAATATATGGAGATATCACTAACGTAACCTAAAACTTAGAGTTCATTCTTATAGTTTCAGAAATGATGTCAAGACCCAAATTCAAAATTAAGCAGGATGTGAGAAAGCAGTGTAGCACACTCTAGCCCCTTCTGCCACCTAGTGGCAGACACCTAGAAGACATTGTGCTTTCTACTCGGGGGTTTTAAATGATTAAAAACAAACCTCCCCTTCATCAGTATACTACCAAAACCTTGATTTTTACAAATAAATCTTGCTCACGATGATATTTCTTAAAGACAATATAAAAATAAACAGATCATTCATTCCATTTTTAAACATGATATACCTACTTTTTTCCTGTCCAGTCGCGGTGCCACTCTGCTATCCTGAGAATCTGATTGATTGATTTCTGGATTAGTATCCAGTAGTCTTTGCATGGCTCGATCACGATCAAAAGCAGTTACATAAAACAGCATTTGACGGGTATCAAATGGAAAGAAAAATGGGCTGTAAAGAGCATTGGATTAGTTAGCTGGGTTCCAACTAGCATCTATGACTATAGTTTAGTTTGAAATACAGTAGAAGTGTAGTATGCCTGAAATCAGTGCTTTATTAAACACTGTGGTAGAAGCAGCCTCCAAAGGAAGCCTTCCAGAACACACTTTAGTTTTAGTTACAATGCTTATGAGCAAGAGTCTAGAAATGGAATTCAATATAAGAAGGAACCACAAAAAATTCCAAAACTTCTCTTCCAGAAAAATAACTCAAAATACTTGAATGCCTTGGCTATGCAAAGTTTGTATCAGAAAATAAATATTCTTTTACTTGTTCACGCCTGTTTTACAATTAGTAAATCTAACTTAGATCAAAGATTTTGAGAAGGCGGCTCAAGCTCCCATATTTGGGGGGGGGATGGGGGGGTGGTG